TAACTCAATTTCTGTTCATTTGTTTGCTTGCTTGTTTAGGGGTTACTTTAGAAATAATAACATGTATACCTAAATTATTAAAGTTTACTTATTAGAGGTAATTATCAAAGAAAAAGAAAGGAGCCATCAATTCTATGTAGGTGGGTCCAGGTAATGTTCTCAGAGAACTTTAAAAAATATTTTAAAATATAGTAAAAATTACCTGTAACACAAGTTCAAATAATACAGAAGTAAAAAGTGTTGGTTGCCTTCTCTTATCATGCCATTTGGAGTGCCTCCTTCAGAACTTCTCGTATATAAGCATATGGGTTGGTGCTCTAATAAAAGGAGAACATGCTTTGTATTTGCTGCAACTTGTTTATTTTTTAACCTCATAGAATATCATACATATCTTTCCATGTCAACACATGCAGATGTGCATCATTATTTTTAAGGGTTATATAATATTACAATGAATGGATGAATCATAGCTTACTTAAGCATTTTCCTTTTGAAGAGAAATTTACAATGATACCGATTTTTGCTGTAAAAAACAGTGCTTCAGTGAACATCAGTGTACATGAATCTTTGGCATCCCTTTTGTAGGACAGATTCCTGTGGAATTGCTGGCTTAAAGGGAATGCATATTAAATTTTGCCATTAAAGAAATTAGGTAACAAGACTTCTGGCCAAGATGGAGGCGTAGATGGAAACACTGTGCCTTCTTGCACAACCAAGTTTAAAGACAACAAAGTTTTAGTAACAAAAATGCAACCAAGACACAGAAAATGGAACAGTACGTAAGTCTGACAACAACAAACCATTCAGCCAGAGTGGTAAGAGGGGTGGAGTCAGTGGCTGGCGGATTTGGGTTGTGCAGGAAAAAGCAGCTGCACCAGACCAACCCAAGAGCACAGGCGGCCGTTGGCAGATCCCAGGCATGGCTGGAAAAAGGTGGACCCAGTGGGGGCCCAAGGAGCCGGGCTGATTGAGGTCACACATTCACACTCAGATAAACTAGGTGAAGGAGTGAGCAGTGAGACAGACTGTTCAAACTAGGGCCCCAGTGACAGGAATTAAAGCCTAAAAGCACCAACTGGAAAAACTTTTGGGGTCAAAGTGCCAGGAGAAGCTCCCAGGCTCACAGAGTCTGCTGGAGAGACCCACAGGGTCCTGGAGGGTGCACAGGTCCACACACCCTGGAGCCGGCACTAGGGGGGACCGGTTTGCTTGCAGGAAGCTGCAGAGGGGACCAAAATCCAAGAGAGCAGAACAAATACCACTGCCCCTCTCTGACCCCACCCCCACATACAGGGTCACAACCCAAGGACTGGGTTGCCCTGCCCTGGTGAACACCTAAGGCTCCGTTCCTCATACCTAACAGGCACAAACAGACCAAAACATTATGGCTCAAGAAGAACAGCTCAAAGCTCCAGAGCCAATACTTCTAAGTGACCAAGAGATAGCCAGCCTATCAGATGCACAGTTCAAAATACTGGTGATCAGGATGCTCACAGAACTGGTTGATTTTAGTCACAAATTAGAGGAACAAATGAAGGCTAAACTAATTGAAATGAAGGGAAATGCACAAGAAACCAATAGTGATGGAAAGGAAACTGGGACTCAAATCAAAGGGATGGACCAGAAGGAAGAAAAAAATGACACAACAGAAAAGAATGAAGAAACAAGAATTCAAAGAAATGAGGAGAGGCTTAGAAACCTCCAGGACATCTTTAAACATTCCAACATCTGAATTATAGGGGTACCAGAAGGGGAAGAGGAGGAGCAATAAGTGGAAAAGTTATTTGAACAAATAATGAAGGAGAACTTCCCCAATCTGGCAAAGGCAATAGACTTCCAGGAAGTTCAGGAAGCTCAGAGAGTCCCAAAGAAGGTGGACCCAAGAAGGAACACACCAAGGCACATCATAATTACACTAGCCAAGATGAAAATGAAGGAGAGAATCCTAGAAGCAGCAAGACATAAGGGGACAGTCACCTACAAAGGAGTTCCCATCAGACTGTCAACTGATTTCTCAAAAGAGACCTTACAGGCCAGAAGGGGCTAGAAAGAAGTATTCCAAGTCATGAAATCCAAAGACCTACATCCAAGATTACTCTACTCTATCCAGCAAAGCTTTCATTTAGAATGGAAGGGCAGTAAAAGTGCTTCTCAGATAAGGTCAGATTCAAGGAGTTGATTCATCATCACCAAGCCCTTATATGAAATGTTAAAGGGACCTATCTGAGAAAAAGAAGATAAAAAATATGAACAGTGAAAGTACAGCAAACTCACAGTTATTAACAACCACACCTAAAACAAAAGCAAACTAAGAGGACAGCTAGATCAGGAGTGGAACCATAGAAATGGAGATCACATGGAGGGTTAGCAACAGGGGAGTGGGAGGAGGAGTAGGGGGGAGAAGGTACAGAGAATAAGTTGCATAGATAGTAGGTAGAAAATAGACAGGGGGGGAAAGAATAGTATGGGAAATATAGAATCTAAAGAATTTGTGACACATGGACATAAACTAAAGGAGGGGAATGGTGGGGGAGGGGGTGTGCAGGGTGGAGGGGAATGAAGGGGGGAAATGGGACAACTGTAATGGCATAATCAGTAAGATATATTTAAGAAAAAGAAATTAGGTAACAACATATCTAGAGTAGTCAAAATCATAGAAACAGAAAGCAGAATGGTGGTTGCCAGGGGAGGGGGATGAGGGGTTGTTATTCAGTGTATACAGAGTTTCGGCTTTGTAAGATGAAAAAGGTCTAGAAATCTGCACAACAATGTGATATATTGGGTTAGCCAAAAAGTCTGTTACGTTTTTTCTATAACATAAAAGACACACTTTTCATTTTCACCAGTAACTTTATTGATTTGGATATCTTGACTATGTCAGCCATCTCCCGCTATTAGCTTCTAGTGGGTAGAAGCCAGGGGTGCTGTTAAAACATCTTCCAATGTATAAGAGAGCCCCACAGCAAAAAAATTACTTGGACAAAATGTCAATAGAACCAAGAAACTTCACAAACCACTTTTGACACATTTGATCAGTCACAGCACCTTCTCATACACTGCACAAATCTTCTTTTGTGTTTTAGTTGCATTTTTACCTTTCTTGAAATAATAAAGCATAATATGCTGAAAATGTTGCCTGTCTTCTTTCATCTTCAATATTAAAACAGCTGCACAAAAGTTCACCTATTTTGATAAATTTTTTTAAATGCATACTGATATAACAGCTGTCACAATACAACAAAATTATTTCAAATAAAGTTAAGACAACTAAGCACTTGCTAGAGCCATTTAAAAAAAAAACACATTCCCAGTCAGGGCACATGCCTGGGTTGCACACCAGTTCCCTGCAGGCCAGTTCCCAGCAGGGATGCACGAAAGGCAACCATACATTGATGCTTCTCTCTCTCTCTCCTTCCCTTCCCCTCTAAAGATAAATAAATAAAATATTAAAAAAAAATAAAAAATAAAAAAAAAACCACAATGGACTTTTTGGCCAACCCAATAGTTAACAGTACTCAAATATACACAGATTAAAAGGGTAAATTTCATATTATGTATTTCTTACCACAATTTAAGAATTGTTTAAAAAAAGATTTTAGGTTGCTGCAAGAGTTTGGTATGATTGGGACGTAGTTGGGAGTGATGAGGTAGATGGGCGGTGGGAGATCGATCATAAAGGTCCTTGTAAGCCATTTTAAGCAGCCAGAACTTAATTTTTTTGGCAGTTCAGGCATTTGAAGGGTTTCAAACAAGGGAATAAATTGAGTATTTTTGTGTTTTAGGGTATTCACTGAACCACAAAGTTGAGGATCTGTTTGGGCCAAAATGGGAGAGGACAGAGGGTGGAATAGAGGCAGGAAAGTCAATTAGACTTGAAATAATAATTGAATTAATGTAGTAGTGAGTGGAGGGGTAATTTAGGTGTTAAGGAAATAGAATGACATGACCAGTTGGAAGGGGTAGGAAGTAAGAGGAGCCAAGGATAACTCTGGTTTCACATAGCTTGTGTGTTTCAGTGGCAAGTGGTTGCATTAACTAAGGCAAGAAATATAATAGGAATGGAAGGTTTGAGGGTAAAAAACCAAATGAACTCATTTTGGATGTATCGTTTTTGAGGTGTATCCAAATACAGCTAAGCATGAGCTTACTGGGTGTATGGGCTTAAAGCCTGGAAGAAAGGTCTAGGCTAAAGAGAGATCTAGAAAGTGTTTTAAGCTATAAATGGTAGCAAAAACATGACCTACAGGCCAAACATTTGTTATCCACATGTTAAAGCATCAGTCACCAGTGTTAGTGTATGAAGACTGGTCAGACTGAGGACGGAACTCAAGGAAGCATCCAACCTTTGTGGGCAGTTGGAAGAAGAGCAGTCAGCAGAGACTGAGGGGCAGTCAGATAGAATGAGGACATGAGACGATGGCATCGTGGGGCTGAGGGAAAATGGTTTTAGCAGGAAGGATTGGGATAGGTGGCTGATGTTGCGGTAAGGTCACATACGACTGCAAAATCACCACTGTTGGATTTAGAAATTAAATTCTTTGTCATGAAGTAATGTATACTATAAGTAGAAATCAGATTTCAGTGAGTTGAAAAAGGAATATGAGGTGAGAAAATGGAGAGAGTGAAAGACTAATTCTGCTTTAAGAGGCAGGGACACTGACATTTATTAATGTCTCCTGGGTTTCAGGTACATACAACATATAACAGACACACATCTCAGACACATACAACAGATTTCACTGTTCTACCTAATATATCTTTTGGTTAAAATTTTTTTTTGTCCAGAGTCATTTTAATTTTTGTGTACATACAAGGTGTGAATACCTCATGATCTAAAAGGAAAGGGAACCTTTTTCATTCTCTGTGGCAAAATTCTTGTTCTTCATCCCTTGGGCATAGGAGGGGAAATGTTGGTAAATGGATTTTGGGGGTCTATATCCTCCATTCTCTTTTAATCCCCAACAGAACTGAGCTATTACCCCACCTTCCTTCACTCCCAGGCCCGGTATGAAAGCCAGCGGATCCAGCTGGAGTCAGAGCTGGCTGTGCAGCTGGAGCAGAGGGTGACAGAGAGGCTGGCACAGGCTCAGGAGAGCAGCTTGCGGCAAGCAGCCTCCCTGAGAGAACATCACAGGTACCTGGGACTTACTGGATGCTGCATCTCCTCAGCCACACAGGTGTTGTTAGTGCCCTGCCCACATCCTCTCAGATCCCTTTATCATCTTCCAACATGCTGGCTCCTGTCAGCTGGGACCTAAGTCTGTCAGTGGGAGAGCTGCCTGCAGGTGCACATAGAGAACTGGAGTGCTCGATGATTTTCCTCCCACAGGGCGTAGTCCTTAACCAATAACTGGTGGGTGCAGGAATATAAATTCCCCAGCTCCCTGCCCCTGATGGGGACAATGATGAGCTTGACCTACACTATCTCCAAGCTGACCTGTGGGATTGAGCCTCCTTCCCATCTCAGTCTCACTTCTCACCCCCACTTCTCTACCATTCTTTTTCCCAGAAATGCTTCTTAAGGGAGTCATTTTCCAGTAAATCCTCATCTCAGTCTTCACTTCTGGGGAACCCATCCTAAGATAGCAGCTTTGTTCTTGCCTTTTTCCTGAGCCCACTGTACTGTACCAGGCCGGCTGCCTGTGGCTAGCTGTCTCTCACATGCACACTCTGCCTTTTTTCACCTGTGTCCTCTTAGGAAGCAGTTGCAGGACCTAAATGGACAGCACCAGCAGGAATTGTCCACTCAGTTGGCTCAGTTCAAGGTGGAAATGGCAGAACGGGAGGAAAGGCAGCAGCAGGTGGCTCAGGACTATGAGCTCAGGTACCGGTCCTTAGAGTATTGCTTTTACGCCTCAGTCCCTTTTCCTGTGCACAGAGCCCAAACTGGGAAGGGTGAAGAGCAAAGAGCTGCCGCCTCCATAGACTTATCTATCCTCTTCTACATTGGCCTCAGCTCCTTTCAGAATTTCTGATGTCTGACATTCCACCATGGTTCCCCTTATTCTCCAAGTCTTTGCTTTCTTAAAGGCTATCTACGTCAGCTTTCCCATCTTTTCAGATTGGCCCGGGAGCAAGCTCGAGTGCGGGACCTGCAGAGTAGGAACCAGCAGGTGGAGGAACAGCGGGCCGAGCTGGTAGAGCGACTCCAAGCCATGCTGCAGGCCCACTGGGAGGAGGCAAACCGACTGCTCAGCACCTCTGCCCTGCCTCCTGACCCCCCAGTAGGCATTACTCCTTTAAGCTAAGCTGCTCAGAGTTGGTAGATAGATACCTTTTCTCGAAATCTAGCTTCCTCCCAAGAGAAGTCCTAAGTTCAGGTCCTTGAACATGCATTAAAAAAAAAATCTGAGGAACTGTCTCATCAAAAGAAATCCTTTTTTCTGTGGCCATAACTCACCCAGACTGGCCACGGTGCGCTGGGTATAACTCTAACTCTCTTTTCCCAGCTCAAGAGGTGGTGAGGAACACGTGATTCTAGTTTTGCCAAATGGTAACTGAATTATGAGATTAAGGGCCAAAATTGTTGCTAAATCCTGCCCTAGAGTAGGATTGGGAGCCTCACCCCTGGCCTGTCTTATGTTGCTTAGCATCTCCTGCTTCCTTCTTTTAATTATGAAATTTTTATTGTTAGCTAAAATGTTTTTTGGAATAGATATGCACATGGTAAGGAAAAAAATCCAAGCCATTCAAAAAGGTATAGAGAGAAAAGTAATCTCCCTCCCATATCTGCACCTCAGTCTCCTGGCTCCTCTACCCAGCAGCAACTGCTATTACTGGCCTCTGGAGTGCTCCCCCCACAAATGGTAGCCTTCTACACACTGTTCTATGATTTTTTATTTACGTACTTATTGGCGGAATTTAAAGTTGTATCATATATTTTGTTTTTACAAACTGCTGCAATAAATACCATTAATGAATATCTGCCCAAGTGTATCTATAAAATTTCTAGAAGTGGAATTGTAAGATCAAAAGTAAGCATCTTAAAATTTGATAGACATTATCAAATCTTTTAAGGAAGTTTTAATTTGTAATCTTACTAAAGTGTCTGTACCATGTCTTGCCTTTTTTAATACCCTGGGCTTTGACCCTTTTTTCTTCCTCTCTCTTGTGCCCAGGTCCCTACCACCAGCCCTGGGCCGCACGAACCAGAGAAGGGGGAGAGGAGGGTCTGGAATATGCCTCCCATGGCTGTGGCCCTAAAGCCTGTGTTGCAGCAGAGCCGGGAAGCAAGGGACGAGCTGGCTGGAGTGCCACCTGTTCTCTGTAGCTCCTCCCCAGATCTTAGCCTCCTGTTGGACCCCACTTTCCAGAGCCAGCATTCCTTCCAGCCCCTGGAACCAAAGTCAGATCTCACTGAATCTTCAGGTAACTGGGAACAGATATCACAGGGGTGCCCCTTACATGCACTAATAGGCTTCCTCTAACCTAGCTGCTTCTCTGTCTCGGACTCGAGTATTTGGATTCCCAGATGTCTGAGTGACTGTACATTGCAAGGAGCAGAAATCCACTCAAGTTGGATTGAATAAAGGGAGTGAGATCTCAGGGAAATGTCATGCAGTTGGACCTAATGAGAACTGGAGTTTGGCTCCAGCAGTGCTCTCAGGAACTGAGGCGCTGCTACTCCTTTCTTTGGACTTGCTTGGGCTCTTGACTCTGTCTCTCCCTGCACATCTGTTCCTTTCTCTCTCAAGGTGCTAGCTCTGATAACTTTGGCTTGCACATGGACTTGACCAGCCATGACATTGATTCCAGCCAAGACTCTAGACAAACTTATAGAGGCCATGGGTCTCTGTTTCTTAGGTCCAGTTTAAAGAGAGGCCACCTGATGGGTTGGCAACCATCCTTTGGATTGGCTAACCGTGGGAGTGGTGTCCACCCCTGGTTTAGTCATCTGTAATTTGGGCGGATGGGAGTGCTGTGTATAGTGCAAACATGAAAAGCCAGGTTGAATTAAGAATGAGGGATGAACCCTGCCTGGTGTGGCTCAGTTGGTTGGAGCATCGTCCTGTATACTGAAAGGTTGCAGGTTTGATTCCCAGTCAAGGCAGACACCTAGATTGTGGGTTCCATCCCTGGTCCAGGAGCCTACAAGAGGCAACCCATCAATGTTTCTCACATCAGTGTTTCTCTTTTTCACTGTCTCTCACCCCGACTTTTTTCTAAAAGCAACAAAAAAAATGTCCTCAGGCAAGGTTTAAAAACTTTTTTTAAAGAATGAGGGATAAATTATAGTACAGTTTTAGTAAAAGGTAAAAGATGTATATGATCTGAAGAGAAACCAGAGTAATATATATATCACATTTTAAATATAAAACTTGTGTAATTACAAAATGAATTGAGGGCATGTTCTGGTGAAGAGACCAAAACATGTTTATTAATCCTAAACCATTCTGAATAGTCATTTCTGTTCTTTAAGTGGCTTATTGTGATATTTATTATTTATTTACAGTCTGAATACCACAGCTTTCCCCTTCTGTCTACACTTCTTAGAATTCAGCTCTTCCATCTCCCAGTTCCCTTCAACCCTTCCCTCCAGCTATTTTAATCTTTCGTTATCTCTCACTGCAGCATCACTATTATGTTTAATAGGCCTCTTTCTTCTGGGAATTTGGTGAGTCGAGCTATGGAGGAACCCCTCCCCCTACAACATACACATGTATGTGTGTGCACACACATACATGTGTACACTTGCATATTACACGTTTTGTTTTACAGATGGGGCCTTGCATCCCAATCACAGAGCAGAACGGCCATTACCTGAGGAAGATCCTGGATCAGCTGGGGATGGCTTCCTAAAGCCAGGGCTTCTACCCCCTTCTCAGCTGGAGGGCCTCAAGCATTTTTTGCACCAGGTAAGAGAGTGCCCACGCATCCTGCCTTATTTGCTTCTTCCATTCTTCATTTCCTCTTTCTGCTGTAGGAGTCCAGGACTCTGGCATCTTTTCCCTTTTAGAATTACTACTTCGTCCCAGCTTCTTACTCTCCCAGTCTTACTCCTATCTTAGAAGTCCTTTCTGGGACATAGGCGACCAACCATAGCTCTTGCTTCCCCAGCCTCTGCTTCCCTCAGATACCTAAGTCTTTCTTTATTGATCCTGAGGGAACTTTACTGTCTTGTCCCTACAGCTGCTGGAGACAGGACCCCAGAACAATGAGAACCCCTCTGTTGACCTGTTGCCCTCTAAGTCCAGTGAGTGCCAGCTCTAAAAAAGATTGGGGCTGGGAAACGTGGGAGTGGGTTCTGTGGGATGGATTTTTAGGACCTGGCAAAGGTGATGAAGCTTCATAAAGGCCAGGGGGGTAGACCTCCTTTAGGCTCCTTAAATGGCCCTTTAACCCATTTCCTGATTTTTTTTTTAAGATTTTATTTGTTTATCTTTAGAGGGGAAGGGAAGGAGAGAGGGAGAGAAACATCAATGTATGGTTGCCTTTTGTGCGTCTCCTGCTGGGAACTGGCCTGCAGGGAACTGGCCTGCAACCCAGGCATGTGCCCTGACTGGGAATCGAACCGCAATTGTGTGGTTCACAGGCCCACGCCATTTCCTGATTTTATCTCTTAACTCTTGCTAGGTCCCCTGCCTGTCCCACTTTGGGAGGAAGCCCCTCAGGTGCCACACCTCCCACCCCCTGTCCATAAAACTAAAGTGCCCTTAGCCATGGCGTCCAATCTTTTCCGGGTCCATGAGCTTCCCTCAACCCATTTACGGAGCAGTGGCCCCAGCAGTGGCTCCCCAGAGAGAGGTGAGCAGGTCGTGATTTATTGGGAGATGAAAAGGGAGGTGTTGGGTGTGGAGCAAGTACCTGGAACTAAGGCCCTTCTGGGTTCCTAGGGAGCTGGGAGGAGGGCTCGGGAGAGCAGGTCTAGGATGACGACCATTACTGATCTGTCTCTCAGGTGGAGATGGGCTCACATCCTCCAGGCAACTGATGGAGGTGTCTCAGCTGTTACGACTATACCAGTCTCGGGGCTGGGGGGCATTGCCTCCTGAGGACCTGCTGCTCTACCTGAAGAGGCTGGAGCATAGCGGGTACCAGCCTGGGAGGGAAGGGAAGAAGGGTTATGTGGGTAGAATCTGGACAGTGGGCAGGGAAATGACTCAGGCAGGGAAGAGAGGGTGTGTGCGTTGTCTACTGAGTGCTCTTTTGTCCTTTTCTGGGGAAGAAAGTAAAGGTAAGATACAGATTGAGTCTCTTCTTCCTACATCTCTCCCTGCTCCCACCTTTCTTTTTATTCTTTAGACATTAAAAAAAAATTATGTCTAAAGAGAAGAGAGGGAGGGAGAAAGAAAGAGAGAAACATCTGTCGGTTGCCTCTTGCATGCACCCTAACTGGGGACTGAATCCGCAGCCCAGGCGTGTGTTCTGACTCAGACTGGAACCTGCAACCTTTCGGTTTGCAGGACGATGCTCAACCAACTGAGCCACACTGGCCAGGGCTCTCCATCTTTATTTTTTGTCTCTTCCTTTCTACTTAAGTTTTTTCTTTGCTTCTAAAAAAGTCTCTTCATCATGTCTTTCTACCTTAGTTTTTTCTTCTTTACCCTGCAGCTTTTAACTCTGAACCCTAGGATTGTGATTCCCCAGTATAATTCAATATTTGATTTCATGAATGTCTCTTCCTATTTTAAAAAATTACTTATTTAATTTTAGAGGGGGAAGGGAGGAAGAAAGAGAGGGAGAGAAACATCAATGTGTGGTTGCCTCTGGCGTGCCTCCTACTATGGGAGCTGGCCACATCCCAGGCATATTCCCTGACTGGGAATCGAACCAGCGACCCTTTGGTTTACAGGCTGGCACTCAGTCCACTGAGCCACACCAGCCAGGGCCCTCCTATTTGATTCCAGGACTGTCTTTTTTATTCTTAAGAGACAAAGTTGAGGAGTAGTTTTCCTATTTAACGTTAGGCTGGGGAGAACTCCTCCCCAATCCTCATCTCTTGATTTGTATGGCAGGACTGACGGCCGAGGGGATAATGTCCCCAGAAGGAACACAGACTCCCGCTTGGGTGAGCTCCCCCGGAAAGAGGTGAGTGAAAGCAAGGCAGAGCAAGGGATAGGAGGGCCCTCACTGACTTGTTCCTCCAACTCTGCACACTCTGCACCCGATGGCCTGACCCACCCCATTCCTGCTCCCATTCTCTGTAGTATGATCACTCCCCTTTGCCGAAGAATTCTCGTCCTTTCCATGCATGACTTTTCTTCAGTGGGTCAGGAGATGAAAGTGCCAGATGCTGACTTTCTCCTCTTTCCTTCAACTCTTATGTTTCCTCCCAGGCTCTCCCTCGCCGCCTTGCCACAGTTCCTAGGAGTGAAAAACCTCCGGCACGCAAGAAAAGTGGGCACCCTGCCCCTGGTAGCGTGAGGAGTCGGGCAGGAATCTGGAGATAAGCCCCTTGGCCTTTCTTCTCTTCTTTGTTCTCTTCTTATTACTATTTTAATAAATGCTCAGTAGTCTGTATTAGAGTCCGTGACTCAGGGATTTGGCAAATGGAGGTTTTATAGGAAACTACTTTGTAAAGAAACCTCATTTTATTCTGTTGGAGTATGTTTTTTTATGTTATGTTCCTATTTTATATTATGTGGAAAAAGACATGAAGACAGTCTTATGGCTAGATTGGAGAAGTTTTAATGAGCCATGTTTCAATGTTTTAAGAGTATAACCCACAGAGTAATTAGCTTTGGTTGGTAGTATCATTTCAAATGATTTTTATTTTCTTTATATATTCCTGTGTTTTCCAAATTTTCTAAAACAAGCATGTATTATTAATCAGAAAAAACCAAACTTTTAATAAAAGAATAAGTTATATAAAGAATTTGAGTAAAAATTTGATTGTTGGAGAGACAGATTTCTCCTTTCAGAGCAGACAGTTATTTGAGATTGCATTAGTAAGACTCTGGGAGATTCCACCCCACCCAGCAGACATTATGGCTGCGGTGTTCACCCTCGGGTTTTATGACGTGTATAGAAGACTAGAGTGCTGGCAAGAGAAATAAAGCCCATGATTACAAAAAATTCCTTCCTAATACTCACCAAAATGAACAAAGAGAAACAATATTAGAGAAGAAATGGCATCTATGTGAAACTAAGAAATGCCCCAGCTTCACAGTACAAACACTGACAAACACACCATGCAGCTTACATCACAACGAAGGGTGATGCTGCAGGACCCACACCCGGCTTTCCAGCCCTGCAGCTCAGGGCAGGGCAGTGATGGTGGTAAGTACAGTTCTGAAGGGCCTGACCCTAGGTGTTTGAGGGACAGAGTTTACTAGATTCCCTGAGGTCCTTCTACTTGCTCCTGAATTATTTGGTTAGATCCAGAATAGACATGATAGAGTATACGCTCACATAGTATTTCATATTAATAAATGTTTGTCTTATTTCCTTCTACCTAAAAGTAACTTTGGAGCCCCTGGGAAAGGGAAAAGGGAAGAAGAGATAAACACACAACTCCGGCCAGGACAGTGGTTGCTGGTCTCACTCAGGACAACCCTCGCTGGCTGAGAAAAAAGAGGTGAACTTGCACAGGAGCAGCACCAGGCTCAGAAGACTTTTCAAACTCTGTCTCTTCACCCACCTATGGAAACATTTGCTTTTCTATTTTTTACCTCAAGTGCATAAAATTTATTTGACCAAACTCTTTGACTTACAGCACAGTATCATTATTGGTAAGGGAGGTTTTTATACTGTTTTAACAAGTTGGCAAAATGAATATCCAGTCTTATCTCATTATCTCTTGGATTCCAACTTGCTGCCCTCGGTTGACTCGCCCTACATTTTTCTTAACATTAAAGACAATCTGGAGAATATTTCCCAACTCTGCAGAACAAAATCTGGAAAGGGCACAGTGCTGACTTAACCATTCAGTGAGCCAATTATTTTTATTTTTATTTGAAAACATGTTATACCCACATTAAAAGTCTGCTTCTTCACAAAATACCACCAAGGAGTCTGGGGAGGAGGAGAAAGTCCACAGTGGAGCAGCTCTTCTTCCCAGTTTTTCCTCTGCAATTGTCTTGGGAATATTCTGAGAGAGGAAAAAAACTAAATGATTTTTAGAGCTCTGTGAAAGCCCACATTTAGAGGAAGTGGTACATCTTTTAAGCTTAAGGTTTGGTTGGTGTAGACAGGGTGGCACATGGCACTTTGTCTCCTGAGAACTCCCAAAGCTACTTGATGTTGGTCAGAGAGGTTCTGGTGGTAGAATATATTCAGGTAACGGCTAAGCTGTTACAAAGAAACCTGATGGGACCGAGACTTTTGGGCAAAGTCTACTTCCCTGATAATGGTCTAGAGCAGTGGGGTGGTCCTGCTGCATGTGGTCGCACAGGGTCTCAGGTTCCTTCCACCTTCTTGCTCTGCTATCCCCTACGTCAGTGTTATTACTTATGTGGTTGAAGCAAGATCATTGTTATGTAGGACTCTCAGCTGGCAAGAAGCGAAAAGAGCCATGTTCAATGTCTTAAGACCCACTCTTGGGAATTCCACACATCAATTTTGTTTTTATTTCATTAGAAAACCATGGTCACATAGCCACACTGACTGTTGGGGACCACTCCGTGTGGTTTCAGAGATTGTAGCCCAAGAGAGCAGGCTCTGAAAGGGGCTGGTAAGTCTCCCTGGAAAACCAGGTAATAATGCAGGTGGAGGCATGACTCGACTTTTATATCGAGGGTTCCCATGGGAATCGGGCCTAAGTTGTACATTTTGTCCTTTGAAGCCTGCTCTGCCTAGTGATAAGCCCTGTCAGTATAACCCAGATGTTTGAGTTCAAGGCATAAGGAGTGAAACTCCCTACCTCATGATATACGCCTTTCCAACCATCTAGTGTCAGCATGTCTCACAGACCCCAACCTGAAAAGATTTCTGTGTTTCTTCAATAGTTATCTATAGATAGTGTCAGTTTTTTATGACTATAGCCTTTTGGACATTGATTGATAAGCTATGCACGTGCACTGTATCCCCCTGCACTTCCCAACCCTAATAAAAGCTGTTTCGGAGAAGGGCTCAGGGCATTCTCCACTAGAGGGACTTGCCATCCCCTTTCCCACCAGAACAACATGTTGCGTCCGGGACAACTCTTCATTCTCATCCACGGTGGCTGGGAGAGCTCCACAGGCTGGAGTTCCCCACATTTGACTGCAAGGAAGACTTGGAAACATAGCCTAGCTGGCTGCCATGTATGCAGTTATAACTCTGTTACTGTGCAAGATCTAAGGAAAAGGTAGGAGTGGACTTTGGCGGAAAACTAGCAATCGGTATTGACTGGGCAGACAGTGAAAAAATGCACCAGACCATGTAAGTTAGTCCAACTATATGGAGAACTTCTATGTATGCTCTACAGGGGAGAGACCCAGGAGAGGATAAGTAGATCACTTTGGGAAATATTTTGGCATTATCTAGGAAACGTGATGATGCCCACACCATATGATACAGTGACTCCATCCCCATGGAGGTGCCCTAGAAAAACTTGCCTGCATGTGCACTAGGAAACAAGTACAAGAATGTCAGCATAAAACCTGCAAACACTAGGATGTCTGTTGGCAGTGGTAGATTCATACAGCGAAATACCATACAGTAGTACAAATGGATGATCTAAAGCTACATGCATCAATATGGATTAATTTCACAAATACAATATTGAGTGGGAAAAGAAGAAAATATCCAGTACACTGTTTACGTAAAGTTTGAAAGCAAGCACAGGGCAGTCCAGTCCAGTGTGAGAGGAAGGGGTCCTCATGGGGGCAGCCTGATGCGGTGTTGGAGGTGAGAAGTGAGTCCATTTGGCAGGATGGCCTGGCAAGGTGCCAGAGCAGGGCTGAGGTGAGAGGGGCATCTGTGTGGGGGGAGATTGTTACATATGGGGGATTGATCAAATATGTAAATATATTATGGACAATGGGAGCTAGGTTTCTCACTATTGAGGAAAGGATATATACATTGGAAAGGGAGAAAACTAGAATGAATTCTGTGGTGTTGGATTAGAATTAAATGCATAAGTATAGACTTGTGGTCTTTAAAATGTATAACTAGATATAGAAATGCATCTAGATGTAAGTTGCTGGCTGTACATAAATTCACAGGTTCCCTAGCAATACTGCTGTGTTTTCCCAAGATTGCTCTAACAAATTACCACAGACTGGATGGTATTACATAACAAAAATTTACTCTAACAGTACTGCAGGCTGGGAGTCTGAAACCAAAGTGTTGTTAGGGCTGTGTAGGGCTGTGTTCTCTGAAGACTCTTGGAAAGGACACTTCCTTGCCCTCTTTCTAGCTTCTGTAAGGGGTGCCCAGCAATCCTTGATGTTCCCTGGCTTGTACACACATCAGTCCAATCTCTGTCTCTGTTGTCACATAGTATTTTATCTGTTCCCCTGTGCCTTCACATGGCCTTTTCATAAGGACATCAATCATTAGATTTGGGGTTCACCATAATCCAGTATGACTTGGTCTTAACTGATTACATCTGCAAAGACCCTACATCAGAATAGGGTCACATTCAGAGGTACTGGGGGTAGGACTTCAACGTATCTCTTGGGGGGATACAGTTCAATCCATAATAAACCCATTAACAATGAACACACCTAGAATTCAGCTCTTTCTAAATACCATTCTCTACTAGAAAAGAGCCGGGGCTTCTTGCAGAAATGGCCAGGTCCAGGTCTGGATCAGGGAAAGTAGAAGATAAGCCTAGAAAATCTTGAAGTAAAAAGTAAGGAGGGATGTGCTCAAAGAATAATGGGGACATGGCAAAAGAACACAGAAGCTGGCTTGAAGGGCTCTATGTGGCCTACAATTTGAGTATCAAAAATAATAAGAAATTGCAGTGGCCTGCCAGGCTTCACTTGTGGACAAGAGCACCCTAAGACCCATACCCAGAGGAGTGAGCACGGCGTCTCTGGGCTCACACGTGGGCACTTCCAACACTCGAAGAAAAAAAGAGAAGAAAAGAAAAGAAGGGGGGGAAAGAAAAAGAAAGAAGAAAAAAAGAAGAAGAAATGATAAATTATAATTGAACAAAATAAATCATGAGTCCATATGAATATAAATAAACTGAAAGGTTGTTGAGGTATGGGAGATTTACATAGTTTCAAAGTATGTACCAAAAATGCTTAATAATTACAATAGGTAAAAGTGTGGCTTTACAGTGGAAAATTCTGGGTAAACCACCTTAATCAAGTGATCAAAGTGAAGGTCATAATCAGTATGAGTCAAATCCTAATTGTGTATCTCCTAACAGGATGTGAAAGGCAAATACAGCATCTGTGAGATTCTTGTCAAAGATCCATAGCCTGAATTTAACCGCAAAGAAACATCAGACAAACCCAAACTGAGGAACATCAATTAATTATTGGCTTGAAATTTTCAAAATTGTCAAGGTCAAGTAAGTCAAGACAGGGGAAATGTTCCATACTTAAGTTGACTACCTTAGCATACAAACTAAAAGCAGCACATGATCCTGAAACAGACCATTTTGGTAAAGAGAACTTTATTGGGATAATGGGTGAAATTTGAAAAATCTGAGGATTAGGACTTCCGCCAACATGGAGGCATAGGTGGAGACGCCGTGCTTCCTCATACAACCAAGTTTAGAGACAACTAAATAACAGCAACAAAAAACACAGCCAGAACACAGAAAATTGAACTTTTTGGAAGTCTGATAACAACAAATTCTTCAGCCTGACTGGTAAGAGGGGCGAAACCAGCGGCTGGCAGAGCGCGGTAGCACAGGAAAACTCAGTCAGACGGACTCAGGCGCGTAGAATCCAGGGGCAGGGTTGGACCTGGTGGGCAACTCAGCAAGCAATCGCAGGGAAACAGCGAGGGAGCAGGGCTGTGGGTTGACTGTGGTCGCACATTCATGTGTGGATAGACAAGCGAGGGAGTGGGCGATTGGACCAGAGCCAGCAGCTCCAGTAGCCAGCGGTGGTGGAGGGCGCCGCCATTTCCCCGCTCTAACCCCGCCTGCACATACAGCGTCATAATCCAGCGACCTAAGTGGCCCTGCCCCGGTAAACAACCTAAGGCTCTGCTCGACACCCAGCTGCGAGAAACAGCAGAGGGGGTCACCATTTCCCCACTCTGACCCCACCTCCACATAGAGTCACAACCTGGCGACCTGGGAGTCCAGGGCTCCGCTCCTCAGACTTAACTGGCGCAAACAGACCAAAAATGGCTCAAGAAGATCTCAAAGCCCCAGAGCCTATAAATCTAAGCAATGAAGAAATAGCAAAACTCTCAGACGCACAGTTTAAAACACTGGTGATCAGGATCCTCACAGAACTGGTTGATTATAGCCACAAATTAGATGAACATATGAAGGCAAAACTAATTGAAATGAATGAAATTGCACAGGAAATCAATAGTGATGAAAAGGAAACTGGGACTCAAATTAATGGAGTGGACCAGAAGAAAGCAAATAATGGCCAAACAGAAAAGAGTGAAGAAGCAAGAATTCAAAAAAAAATGAGGAGAGTCTTAGGAACCTCCAGGACATCTTTAAATGCTCCAACATCCGAATTATAGGGGTACCAGAAGGGGGAAAGGCAAAGCCACCAGTGGAAAACTTATTTGAACAAATAATGAAGGAGAATTTCCCCAATCTGGCAAAGGAAATAGACTTCCAGTAAATCCAGGAAGCTCAGAGAGTCCCAAAGAA